CCCCCCCCCCCCCCCCCCCAGGGGCTTATATTCGGTGGGGCGATTTAACGGAGGTTTTTTTGCGTTACGATTTTGGGGGCGCTTATATTTGGAGAGGTTTATACATGGAGGGGCTTATTTTCGGAAATTTTATGGTACACATGTAAAAGGGTAAGGGGTTGGACCTTGGGGCAGAGACTCCTCGTATATAACTTTTTAGAGCGCCCTCGCACTCTGGGACCTTAGCCAGGTTCATTGACAGAAACAAAAATGGTCAAACAAAAGACAGTTGAGCCATTGACTTACCAGCAACATTTTCACAGGTATGAGATAAACTAAAATTGCCCTGCAAAACCCAAACAGTCATGAATTCAAAATACGATAGCTGGCAAAGAACCCATTTGATCTGGATGGAGAGGAAAGATATTCACTGGACTAATAGACTGAAAAAAATCAATGGATCTTAAGGCTTAAATCCACTGCACAAGCTAATTCTCACTATGCCTCAACATCACAACTAGTCTCGAGTTCAATAATGATGAAATAACAGCATTATCTTCATTGAAAAAAAAAACACTATAAAAAATTACCCCTGTTGTAACAAGAACTTACTATCACAAGGAACACTACATTAAATTTCGCACAAAAATAATTTTTATTTCTTTTATTGTGTAAAAAAGCACATTCACAGCTTATCCTTACCTTTTATTTTTACTGGAAGATCTGTGACAGCGTTGAAATGCAAATGTTAAGAATTCATCAGCTAAAAGAGAGGTAAACACAAACTTGAGTCCACAAAAATGAGAATTATTATGTTTATATTGAAGTGCTTAGTGCCCAGGCATAAAAAAAGAGAAGATCAAGTGCTTTCACCAATTTTTTTGCAAAGCGGGGGAGAGCCTCTGTTAAGTCTAAGATCTGAGTGATTAGATAATTTGAGGAGACTTATTATTGTCCAGTACCTGCCAACATCAATAACCCTATTACTGCTCCTCACACTACAAATTATGTGCCATCTCAAGATCATATTTTTTCATAACAGGGGATATAACAAGGGTCTGGAAACCTCACAACCATACAGCTGTACCACTCAAAATTTACCCAAACTTAAAGCAAAAATAACTCAAGACCACATCACCGCAAACCTTACACATCTCTCATTCAGTGTACATTTGCTCTTATACCACCAGTGACAGTTTAAAAGCTTTAAACTAGTACAAACAGAGATTTGCTGCAATAGCCTTGGTTAGAGAGAAACAAGGGGCTGACTTAAAGATTTAATTTTGGGGTGATTTTTTTTATCATAATAATCTAGAAAAGTTTCCTCAAAGGTGTAGTTGATGACATACAGCTGTACTGTGCAGAGCAAATTCAAAACTGTTATAAATCATTCTAATATCTTACCAGCTTTGAAATCACTATCAAACATGGCTTTTCTTCCAACAAAATATCTAGTAAAGGTACGGGAAACAAAAAGAATATTTTTTAAACATTACCTAAACAAAACCATTAAAATGTATCCCTCAAGATCCCCATAATGATACCATTTTTATCAGATAAATGAGATTGGGGAGGAGTGTCACAAGATAAGACAAAAAAGGCTGCAAGGGAGACTAATATAAGACTGAACTAGAGCCGATGTTGGAGAAAGTATTTCCTTATACCTAAAAGTACAGAATGTACATGTTTTGTAACAGTGCCAAGTTAAAAGCAAACATTTCTAATAAAGTTAACCCAGTACACCAAAAACATACCATACTGGTCAGCAAATCCCTGACTTACAGGTAGAATATGCTTTATTATTAATGAAAATATTTTTCAGTTTTTAATTGCCTTAATATCAGCTGGCTAATTCTTTGTAACCAGCTAGGGTTCACCAAATTTTGGAAGATGTTCGGTCGTATTGATATAGAAAGAAAAAGGGATGCACATCATGCCAAAACAAAATTAGCTGCACTGCAGTACAGTAAACACCCGCATATAAGAACAAATGGATTAAGAACACCAGGCTGAAATTTGGCCAATAAAGCCCCATTTTTATAAGAACAAGATCAGCCTGAAAATTGTAACATGTTCTTATAAAATGGAAAAAG